ATAATAATGTGACGAAGTTGCATAAGAGCATGCAATCATGCAAGCCTCCACGTGTCTCCATTTCCTGGTAATGCTCCGTTTCCAAGCCTACCGCCAGACTGTCTGATGCAATGCGGAGTCTAGGTAATTCGGAGTATGGTAGACTGCTGAAAGTGATGAAAAAGCACGCGTTCTGTTTCATGGATGCTATGGAAACAAATACACCCACACCCACACCAACACCCGCACCAACACCCACGCCCACACACACGTGTATACGTATGTGTATATATATATATATATATATATATATATATATATATATATATGGATATACTATTCGATTTGTTAGTTAAATGTCAAGTTTCAATAATTTTCAACGAAACCCTTCAAATGTGATAACTTCATAGTACGTGCGAAATCCTGAAGGACCATCGCTCGCATGAGACCGAGGCTGTGGTCTGTTGAATGGAATGTTTTGTCTGGCGTCTCTTTTGTTGCAAACATCCAGTACAGTTTGTTGTCGCCACTGAGGTGCTGTTCGCGCAAATATCAAGCGATGGGATTCGTCTTGCAGGGATTGCTGCCGGCATATCTGTGACGACCGCCGTATTTACTAGTGGCCCGCAGCCTCCGATGGCGACGATCCTGCTGGTCGCGTGAGGTACATTCTGGTCGGCCAATATCAGCACGTGTTTTACGCCACACACGGTAAGCTACATTCCGTCTGATGCCGTTTCAATTGAAGGGCGGACTGCAACTGTAACTGAAAAGAAACTCGCTGATTACATTCTCCTCAATGCACGACGGCTGAGGGCGCGTTTCGAACCGCCCGCCGCCAGTTGAAGACGACGCGCTCACGCCACGCTGGCGGATGAAATACCTCCATGGTGCCTGGCGTGACCGGCCTGTTCTCGCCAGTCCAGCCACTTCTTTTGGCGGTCGGACAGTGTGCGTTACATTGCTTGCGCCAGTGTACAAGTTCCGCTTAAACCGGCGCCTCTGGGCCATTACGGGCGCCCATGGGACAGCCCAGCACACTGCCAGTCCTTGAACGAGTGACACATGGTATGATGAGGAGTGTAGCCCAGTGGGACACCGCTCACCTGGCATTCTAGGGTCTCCAAATCATACGTAACTGCTCTAGATCCTTATTGAACACTGATACACCCAGAGCTGCTTCGTCAAGGTAATGAGCACATTCATGGCGTGCACTCCTTATGCATGATACATATATGAATGCATGTATTTTGGCTATGCATCACTGTGCACCTTATACTTTGATGCAACCATAACTTCCGGACCAAATATAATTTTGTAGTATGCAAGGATTAAGGGTCTTTAAAAAAGAAATGCCTAACTACATTTACACAGTAAGCCGCTCTGACGTTCGCATGCACTTTTTAATTTGTGGCCCCGAAACACCCTAAGAACAGCGCCATTAAAAACTTCAGGTTAATGGCTAGCGGCGCCCGCAGCGGAATAGATGGACCCTCATCCCTGCACAACAGCGAACACGAAGCCGCCACCTCACACAGCTCTGCAGCAGCCCAAGTTCCCATATGGTGCAGCTTGTCTTCGCATGCATCATAACTACTCACGCCATTCCTTGTTCTGCTAATGCTGTGCCATATGCAAACTACGGGAACAAGCAGGCTCTTCGCCGGCACTCCCAGCTTTGGTGCGCCAAGACAATCAGCTGCCCCGAAGAACTATGGGAAACGGTTAACACTCTAGCACAAAGGTCTCCTACATCACCTAGAAGGGGTTGTTCGGAAAGGATTTTTTGGCGACGCTGTGCTGCAGAGGAGGTTCGAACAGATTAATTGCCCCTACCAAAGACTTTCTTTTTGTGACTACTTAAAAGCTCACAGAACGTTTCTTTGAAGAACCGGAGAGGAAGCAGCCAGCTCGAACTAATCCTAAGCACCCGCAACATAGCTACCTTTGCGCTTTGTCTTCAGTTGTGACCCAGTAACTAAAACTCTGCCGTCATTAGGCATTACCTTTTGCCCACTTTGACCCCAAGACTTCGCAGAACTATTTCAGTATAATGGAAAGCCCCTCGCAAAATAGGATAAGACATGAATCAGTAAGAGCATGATGCGATCCTTCACATATTTCTACATAACACGATTTCCCAACAGTCCGAATCCCTTTCCGAAGTCATGCCTGAGTTTTTCAGTCACATTTTCAGTCACAGATTCTTAATTAGATCAATCGCAATCGAAAGATGAAGAGACAATAAACAGAGACCAGTGTTTACGGCAAGTTCAGTGCTCCTACCAAAGCGCATCTGGAACATAGCAACTTTCAACATTGTTATAAGACAACGCAAGAAAACGGCCTGAAACCCCAAATGAGCCACTACCTACATGTGTGATCTACTCAACCAGGGGGTGCCCTCCGGTATCTAAAGCATTACAAAAAAGCGTTGCTGTTTCCAAACCCCTGCTGCCAATTCGGACGTCAATTTAAGCCTGTGATTGGTCAGAGGACTTGGTGTCGTCACAGCTTTAAACCCCGTGAAACCCCGGTTGCCGTAGTGATTAACCCCGCGGCATCGGGGAAAAAGCTGATACTTAACGCTGTTTTTACCTCGGTTGGTAGCGCGCGAAATACCGGCGTTATAAAAGATATCAAGCTGATTTAAACCGTAAAAAATCGGACAACCTGAGAGAAGAAGAGAACTGGCAAGAATAGCTGGAGCCAAGCTCTCGCTCTCCATGCTGTTCACTTTTTATTTGAAGTGCTCATTTTGTTTTGACAGTTTATCCGACACAGTGATGTGATGCTGTTCTATGACAGAGGAAATCAAAATTATAAAGGTAAGGTTTGTTATTTGTTCAGTGCATTAGCGAGGAACATTATTGACATACATAAGACAGTAGTACTAGCCTTTTTCCTCGAAGAAAAACCAGGAGAATGAAGATATAGTTGGGTCATATCCAACCATATATCCATCTTCCTGGTTTTCTCCGAGGAATAAGGCTAATACTACTGTCTTATCTACGGGAAGGTTTGGGATAATATACCAAAGTAGGTGTATCATCGGGCACCGGCCGACGTCTGCTTTTAAGGGATGACTCAAATATGAGTGATGATATATGATAATGATATATGATAATGAGATGATGTCCCCTGGATGTTATTTAGGGAAGTGCTATGGTAAATATTACTGTGTCAGTGATCTGTGAACTGTCTGGTGTCAAGCATCATTGCGGTTGGGTTTTAGATGTCATAGGACGTGGTAGAATATGAAATACGACTGAACGCCACTGAAGTTATCTTGGTAACAATATACTGAAAATGTACTGAAAATCATAAACCACAGAGATGTTCACCGGGCGTGCCTTGCTTTGTGCTCCCAGATGGGCGTCGTCTCACTCATAAACGGCGTGACAATTCCGGAGCCGCCACACCCGTCGGCGGCCACGGGCCGAGCTCCGGGTGTCCATGCGTCACAGAAGGTCGTCCATCCGGTTCTGGTCGTATTGCTCTATACTCGCTGATCACACTGCTGTTGGCGTAATTCAACAGATCCGATAAAAATTCAGACCACGGCCTGAAGTATGCCGAGGGGTCCAGCAAGAGCCAAGAGCCAGCTTGTTTTTTATCCATTAATCGCGAAGGTTAGGCCAATAATATTGCCCCAGATTCCACAAGAACCCAGAGCTAGCCTTCAAATATAATCCGGATCCAGCAGCAATCAAGATGCAGCATAAAGTCAAAGGTACCGACAAGAACTAGTATCTAACTGGAAGCATTGTTCGAAACCATTACATATTCACTTGATGAGCTTACGTTATGCGGCGTTCAGATACCAATGCTCTGAACTTAGTTTCATTCAAAGAGAACATTGTATAGTAACTGCAATAATAACAGTTCAATGCGTTTTGCATGTACCAGCAACTTTGCAAACAAGCGTATGAACTTGAATTGCATTGGCATGCTTGCATGTCATGTGTTTACACACCTAAACTCGTGTCGGAACCACACACTCGGCGTCGATACCGCAAATAATAATCTGCATTCGCCTCAGTGTTTCAATACGGCACACATCAGCACACGGTAACCGATATTGGAAGCATAATATTTGACTCATTTTCCTGTTCATTTCTGTTTCCTGACCACTCTTCACGTCGTGGTCCCTGTTTCATGTGCAGGTCTTGTTGACATCACGGTGATTTGTCTTGCCGCGCCAAGTCAGCAGTCAAAAAATAATAGCCTTTTGCATGAAAACCATCCGTACTTAATAGCCACATTTACGCGTAATTAGCGCTTGTCAATGTGAGATTTTAAGTTACAGGTGTAAACCCGCTTGCAACCATCTCTTTTCCATCGCAGGATCCGATAATATCGCGCAACACAGACCAGGGTGACCAGACCAGGCCAGACCAGGACCAGGGACCCTTGAACCCACTACCACAGTGCAGAATCTGGGGTTTACTGCCATGGCAACCGGGGTCTAATTCTGTGACATGAAATCCGCTAACCAATCAAAGGACTCATATGACGTCCGAATTCGCGGCTTTCCCAAAGCCACAGGCTAACGCAGATCAGTGACCACTGAAACCGAGGAGTCCGATGCGAGATCAAAACTTTCCGGCTCGTCGTGTGAAAGATATATACCTGTAATGCGATGCAATGCTGCCCTCACAGCCGGAGTACACGCCGGCTCTGGCGAGACCCTCACACCACGGTGCACGGGACATGTCCAGCCGGCCGGGCTCGCTGGACGGTCCCCGGACCAGCCCTGAGGCGGCTAACCCGCCCAGTCACGTGACTGCCGCGGGCATCGTGGCCGAGCCCAGCAGCCACCGCCCGGCAACTCTCTCAACCCACCAACGTTAATCCCTTCCACGAAAACGCCCGCCACCCGGCTGCACTCTGCCTTCCCCAGACATGGGCGCTCGACCCTCCGCGGTAATACGCGCCGGCGCGCCGGGCCTCATCAGCACTACGCACTGAGGCTTTCAGGAGAGACCACACCTCAGCAAAATGTTCACGATTTCAGCCGCTTACAGCTCCAGTACCTGACGCACACTGCGACAACAGGCCGGGTGTTGCGGTCAGACCGCGCGCGCCGGGCACCGCGTCTTGCGTGCTCTTGCGCCACGCGACGGCGACACGCGGCCCTACCGGCAGCGCCCTGCTGATCGCCACTGACCTTGGTGGTGTGGTACTCCTGGGAGTAGCGGGCCGGCAGCCCCTCCTGGTAGGCGGCTAGAGCGATCGGCAGTACCTTGGCGCAGCGCGCCTCCGAGAAGCGCGCGTCAGAGTCCAGCGCCGACCGCAGACTCGTCAGCGGCTGGTGGATAGACAGACATGGCGTCAGAGGCCAGCACCGACCGCAGACTCGTCAGAGGCTGGTGGATAGACAGACATGGCGTCAGAGTCCAGCGCCGACCGCAGACTCGTCAGCGGCTGGTGGATAGACAGATATGGTGTCAGAGTCCAGCGCCGACCGCAGGCTCGTCAGAGGCTCGTGGATAGACAGACATGGTGTCAGAGTGCCGCAGACTCGTCAGCGGCTGGTGGATAGACAGACATGGCGTCAGAGTCCAGCGCCGACCGCAGACTCGTCAGCGGCTGTTGGATAGACAGACATGGCGTCAGAGTCCAGCGCCGACCGCAGACTCGTCAGCGGCTGGTGGATAGACAGACATGGTGTCAGAGTCCAGCGCCGGCCGTAGACTCGTCAGAGGTTCGTCAGACACAGACAGTCAGACGTGGCGTCAGGGTCATACCAGATCCAGGCACAAGGGCAGCCGTCGGGGACTGGAGTAAATGGTCACATAGGGTCAGATTCATACCAGAGCAGTCAGTTATTGCCTACTGAGTTGGAATATGCGCACGCAAGCAGATTGATTTGAATGGTACTGCCATTGGTGGGTAGCCGAAGGGCACGGGCCGTGTAGCGGACACGCCACCGGCGGCATTACATGCTGCCCGATCTCATCTTATCGACCTACACTGCACGGCGAGTCAGACGCACGCGACAGGCCGGACGCGCGCGACAGGCCAGACGCACGCGACGCACAGCCTTGCCGCGCTCAGTACTTAGCCGCGCCGCTCAGCTCACCTTCTTTTAAACCGTGCCGCTCGGCTCACCTTCCTGTAAGCCTCCACGCTCGGCTCACCTTCCTATAAGCCGCGCTGCTCGGCTCACCTTCCTGCAAGCTGTGCCGCTCGGCTCACCTTCCTATAAGCCGCGCCGCTCGGCTCGCCTTCTTGCAAGTTATGCCGCTCAGCTCACCTTCCTGCAAGCCGTGCCGGTCGGCTCACCTTTCTATGGGCTGTGCTGCTCGGCTCATCTTCCTATAAGCCGCGCCGCTCGGCTCACCTTCCTGTTAACTGTGCCGCTCGGCTCACCTTCCTATAACCCGCGCCGCGCGGCTTACCTTCCTGCAAGCCGCGCCGCTCGGCTCACCTTCCCATAAGCCGTGCCGCTGGGCTCACCTTCCTGTAAGCCGAGCCGTCCGGCACCAGGATGATTTCCTCGTATAGTCTGCTGCATGCAGCGAACCAGACATCACCAGGAGGCAGCTGGCGACAGGCCAGGCCAGGTTACGCGCCAACAGACGACCAAATGGTAGACGGTAAAAGGCGACGAAATAACGATATGGTGTGTTTATTGTCGGCGTAATTTAATAAGGCATGTATTAAAAATTGCAAGCCCAGTAAGAACGTCGTATCGCTTGCGTTGTGCCCTACCAAACAATGCACCGCTGTCGCTTCGTTACCGAGTGTAAATATTTGTGTGTGTAACTGAAACACTCGGACAGAGAAAGAATGGTGCGGAAGCTCTGGTGTAAGAAAACTGCGCACACGTCAGCCGGTCCAATGAAGCATTCAGCTGCACAGACCAGCCCAGTTGCACACCAAAGAGCTGCCACTAAAGCTCTGCCAACCCACTCCGATGTCACAACACAGCCGTCGCCCCGGTGGCGCCCTCTCCCTTCCTTCGGCCCGGCCGGTGCCGTCAGTGCCGGCGACGACCGACAGGCGGCGCTCACGTCGCAGCTGGGGGCAGGCAGATGCTTGCCCACGTTGTCGTCAAAGCCGCGCGTGCGGGCCGTGCCAATGTGGCGGCCGAGCAGGGCGGCGAAGGTGGCCGGCGGCGCAGCCAAGGGCGTCGGTGTCGTCGCCCAGAGCGCGTCCGCCACGGCCGGTGGCGGCGGGCTGCTGCGCTCGTCTGCGGCAGCGTGCGGCCCGCCCTGTCACAGTGGGTAGGTGGACGCCGATGACAAAACCATGCGACCAACAGTCTCAGATATATCCTGTCTGCATAACACGGTCGCGCAGCTTCGCGGACGCGAGTGTCATGTGAAAGCACAGATTGCCGGTTTCAAGGATAGCAAAACGGACACACCATGACAATCACTCAATTACATATCGACACACATGGCTGTTATTTTTCGATGTTCGTTGCTGTCAGCTATCATGTCACTGTCCGTAAGTGTCGTAACAATGACCAGACGGAGGAGAAAACTTGTATTTTTGGCTTTGTTTATTCCAATCCCTCTTCCTCATCATCGTATAAACACAGTGGCATCAGTACGGGAACAAAAACAGAATCGCAGCCGGTCGAGCACATCTCCAGCCCCACCACATCAGCTGAGAAGACTGGGCCAGCGATGTGACCAACCCAAGCTTCAAACCCTGCATCCCGATTTCTGTACACATTTCACTGCTTCGGAATAAGAGATAGCTTCACCTATGCATGCTACCACAAAATTTTCTGGAATGAATGCGCTGCGTTAGCTTACATACATCCATCAAAAGGGAAGGGCCATGAATAGATGACGACAAGCGGACCTCGTGTGTTTCGCTGCGCGAAGAGATGACACCGTCTGCGCCAGTAGGGTAACCCGTGACGTAACGCCGGTGGGGCCACCACCCGTAACGTAACGTCGGTAGGGTCGTCACCCGTGACGTAACGCCGGTGGGGCTGCCATCTGTGACGTGGCGCCGGTACGGCCGCCACCCGTGACGTAGCGCCGGTGGGGCCGCCATCCGCGATGTAACGCCGGTGGGGCCACCACCCGTGACGTAGCACCGGTAGGGTCGCCAACCGTGACGTAACGCCAGTGGGGCCACCACCCGTGACGTAACGCCAGTGGGGCCGCCATCCGTGACTTAATGCTGACTCGAATCTCAGCAATATTAAGTGGATTTCAATTAACCATGTTAAGCAAGTCAATACGCGATCACCCAGTCGGGCGACACGCATGGATCACCTGGACACATAGACAATGCACCCAGTCGGACGACACGTTTGGATCACCTGGACACATGGATAATGCGACGCTGATTCAAGCACTCAGAACACTAAATACATATCCGCTCGTAGCGATATGACATCAGTTCCAGCCACATAGCACCGACTCGCATCTCAGGCATGCACGGCGCGTCTTGATGCGTTTCGTTGAGGGATCACCACTGCGGCGCTGAACGACGCAGAGACAAACAACTGACAAAGACATGTAGGCGGAGGCGGGTCAAAATGAGGGCTCACTTTGCTACCGCGGCAGCAAGCACCTGCTTCCCATTCACTTCCCATCGAAGCGCTCTGCAACGCCCGCATGCTGTGCCATTTTTCCGAGCCCAGCTGCATGGGGTACCTCGAAGCTACCCGTGCTGCAATGTAGAGCCTTTTGCCGTGGGAGCATGCGCCGCAGTGCCTCACGATATTGCCCGAGCCGATCTGTTCGGCAACGCGGTGTGTCCAACGGCTCAAGGGCATTAGCAAACCAGATCTTGGAAGAAGTATCACGGTTTTTCGCCTGAGACAGTCCCGTGCCCTCGTGACCGGGGGTCTCTCGCCTGGCTGTGTACCGCCGCTTGTAGCCGCTCCGCTCTTAGCTCCGCAGTGTCACTCGGCAAACGGTCTTATGAACTGGTGAGCATGGGGAGCAGCTGTCGATGTTTGGGCAACAACTCGGTTTTAAATGGAGAAAAATGCATGCGACATAGCGATGTCTCTAGCTGGCCAACACTGCCGTGAGCGCGCATATAGGAAGACGGTCTGTTTGATTGATGTGTAGCCAATAGCATGTTACGTTAAGACTAACTCGGATGACGTCACATGGCTGAGCTACAGGTACGCGTCCAGTGTTACTCAACCATCATCTTTCAGCAGCCATAGTTCAGCACCTGCGGTCAAATGACACCTCAAGAGATGATCCCAGCAAGTTTCACGGCCTCCAGGTTCTGGGCCGCCCGGAGCTGGCCACGTCACCCCAGATCGTCTTCGTGGTACACATGGAGGATCGTCTTTGTGGTACACCCTGCTGCAGCAGTGCCACATCGTGCATTATCCCCACCACAAGCCCCTTTCTCTCATACCCGGCTGCCCCAATTACGTTTGAAAGAAAGACCAGCCACGCACAGTGTCGCCTGCCACGAACGTGCCGTGCTCGGCGAACTGTGCTACTCGCGCGGACGCGCGGCACACGTCGGTGAACAGGGCGCTGCACTATCTCGAGGGTGTTCGAGCGATCACAACCGGACACGGTGAACGACACGTCCGATATACCAGGTGTAGCGGGCAGAAGTACGTGACGAGCTCAAACGTCAGGGCGGCACATGTCGCTTTGCTGAAAGCTGCTGGTGTCATTTGACTCTCCATAGTTTCGTGTACGCCGGTGGAGCTGGAAAAATAAGTCACGGCCGTGGAGGTAGGGATAGTTACCTGCCAAGAAACATTGACTGTCGCCGCCAGTCGGCTTTGCTAATTCGCATAGCTGGTGATGATTTCGGACCCCACCGGTGATAAATTTTGTTGGATACCCCAAAACACCACCGTCTACAAAAGAACGACCCTGCAAATGCAAAACTCAAACACGCGGAACCAGCGGGCGTGCACAGTGATGCCCAGAAGCCAGCGCAAAGGATAAGGGCACGTTCAAAGCTTCTCCTGTCTGAGTTAGGTAAAGTCGAAGCCGGGTTCAGGCTGCCAGCACCTCACCATCAAAATAAAAAGAGGATGTGACGGCGTTGGTGCGACGCAATAAACTAATGTACTGAACGATGACATAGTAATGGTGAGGCCAGGGAGTGTCACTTGGGTACGCACCACCTGGTCTGGCCACTGTGGCCACCACTGGCTCACATCGCAGCCATGCAAGAGGAGCTACCCAAAAACTGGTGATGCTAACTGCTTCATTCGGTTAATATTTAGATGCAACAATATTTTCAAAATATTCTGGATACAACTGCATCCCCAAAAAGTTTTGTTCCTCCCCCCAAAAAAAATGCGCTGCTGTGTTACACAGCAGCAGTATCCCAAAAGCTAGTAGCACTGTGAAGCCCCTTGCATTCCGTTGGAGGGGAAAAGCTATTGGTAGCAGCCAAACGTACAGACTCATGAGCTGCATGACCTGCCATTTCAAAAATTCAAGATGAACCCATATCACTCCACTACCCATGAAAACCTAGAAAACCATACAGCGAACCCATATAGCGATTCGGTCGCAGCGTCGTGGTCGGTTTCGCATTTCGCTCGCTGTTGATCACGGCCTCTATATACGGTGGCTCCCGCCGCGCCAGCGCGTTTATTACACCGCAGCTGGCTGACAGCACGGACTGGTCTTGGCTGCCACTGATGGTGTCGGACAGCCAAAGGATAGCTGGGCAGATTCAAGGCGTGACCCCGGCATTCGCTTCTCCACAGCACACACATAACTCCTGTCAGATAGATGTTGCTAATTGTTTAATTATCCACCGAACTGTTGTTTACTAGGCATGAGCGTAAAATGACTCGACACGAGGACCGAGGCAGCCCCAGCACAAGGAAGCGCCTTACACATGAGCTGGAAAGAGAAACACCCAGAAGGAAACATGAAAACAAACAGCACAAAATCAAAACGCGCGGCACCGCTGCAACAGCATATATGGTGCCTAAACGCCCCCTGCCGCTCTTTTAAAATGCTACATCCGCTGCCTCTGATAAAAGATTCTACACTTATAACGACAAGTCAGCTGTACATCGTAACCATCCACATAACCTCTGAGCGTAACTTTGCACAGCGTGGAAACATTCCGAGACACACCCTGAACAAGAGATGGCAAGTCTGAGGGATTCTTTTCCCATACAGGGTTGTGAAAACTAGACCCATATTTAAATTATCCCTTTCAACAAGTCTGGCACATATCTGACGTCTGGCTATGAGCAGATACCACGTTCAGGAGGTGTTTTACCCATGAAACATTTTTGGTGGCATTTTACGCTTTTGGCAGCACTTTAGACTTGTCATCAGATGACGCCTTGCGGCTCGAAGGTCACGGCCAGAGAAATCAATATTTGTTCAGCCCGGCCCTGTGATTGGCCACATGACTCACGTCGTGCACCGTTATTGGTCAGAATCCGAATCTTCTCCCTCGGACGACTCACTGCGAACACGCCCCAAACCCTGTAACGATTTTGGCCCCTCGTGCGGCGTAGGTGGCCGCCGGTTTCCTCAACCATTCGTGCTCACGCCCGGCGACCGGCGGGGGAACACAACTATAGCGGGGTGGAGATGTAAGTTGTTGCCAGGGCGGTAGAGCACTGTTGTTGCATTGCGCCGAGCTTTTTGCTCTGCGTCCTGTTATAACTGACCAAAAATATACTAACTGGGGGAGCTTGAACTACCCTTTCCATCTTACAGCTGGTGCTCACACAACTGGAACTCAGCCGTCACATAGCCAATCCTGTGAATTCACGATTCCATGCCCATGAAATGTTTCAGTAAACGAAACATTATGCCAAAGAATATGGAAAATCAATATGATCAGGAACCGTGTCTTGAATTCTGGCTCCTTCCTCTCAAATTACCTGTGTTCATCATCAGTATTGCAGTAGTAGTAATTGGGGCCTTAGGGCACATTGACTGCAGTCATGTAGCACCCACATCATCCTCATGGTCACTGTCATTATTACTTCAGTTCATTTCTTAGTAAAAATAGAAAATGTCCTGAATCTATGATGCAACCTGAATTATAGCCTACAGAATTATAATTAAAGTTTGGGTACTCAAGGTTTGCTGAACCAAGCCCTCTTCATAACTGATTTTTGGAAGCTTTACCCTTGCCACAGGATGCTAAGCATCCAGTTTTCTGGGAACAGACACTCCAGTATCACAAATGTTGCAAGAAAATTAGTACTGGCAGTGCAACCTTTCAAGCTGGCACGAGCTGCATTTTATTACGTTCTATGTGACCCACAAATGTAAATGACAGATTCTGCTAAAGATGTGGTCAGTTTTCATCTTGAGGCCCTGATACAACATGCACCTCAAATAAATATGGCTGATTTACAAAATTTATTTACTCTGAGCTAGTGTGATTTAATGTTATACATGAAGACATTCGGTCAGCAAATATTGGTGTTAACACATCATCTTTTCCTATGCATACCAATACATGCAGTGTTCAATGGTTGCTGATTATGATTCATTTGGCTGCATGTACTGCCAAGGGCTTCCATAATCCCTTTGTTTAAAATTGTGGGTTTGATAGTTATGCGTCGCCTTTCCCCAAAGTGACAGACTTTAAAAGCATCAATGCTGTAACTCAGATGGGCAATCATGACAATATAAATGCAGATCATCATCAATATCAGGGAATGTTATGATAATGAGGCCAATTGACAAAATTTGCCAAAAGTGGTACAATGAATGCCAAAGGAGAGCATTTTATCTTGATATTATGCATATGGTGTGTGCTGTGCAATCTTATGCAATGTGGCTAAGTCTAATACATTTCACAAAAGTATTTAGCAATTGGCAGTGATTAAATAGGTCATCCATCACTCAGGCAACTGTTTAAGGATCAGAGTTGGGGGATGAGGTACAAGTGCCTCTGACCTACTTCTTGTCGCTGACAGTGTATGGTGGTGCTGGGTTACTGACTAACCCCAATAAATAGGTATGTGGTACTTTGTTGTACATGTTCAGCAAGTACCTATCATGGTGTGATGTACTACCTGTCTGTCACAGGGCAGCATAAATGTCAGTAGCTGCTGTTGGTTGGGAGTGGTACTTCTTGTTTGATTTACATGCCAGCTATCTGATATTTTATGCATGCACCATTGCCAAGGACAGACAAAATAACTGTTTTACTGTTTTTATGGTATCTTGATGTTGCCCATTGCCCCAAATTTATGCTGCATTCAGCTCCTAGTAGGTGTCTGTAAGTTCAATTAACTTGAGGTGAAAATTTCAGATGGTACAGGCATTTTGATTCTGTATTTTATTTATGCAGGATCACATGATATGCAGCTATATGTTACATGTATATATGTTTTGCCACCTACTTGCAAGCAGAACAGAAAATTAGAATCATTGTTGACAGTCAACAAGCCATAAGCTATTGACACAGACTCCATGTCTGGCTATGCTCAGCCAATGTAAAATATGTAGGGTTCAAAACATTTTCCCCCAGGTTGTTGTAAGTGGACAGCAGAGGAAAGTGTTAAATATGACATTTTCAAATGCAGCTCAAATTTTCCTCTGATATCCAAGCCACATGATGACCCCTTTTAAAGCTTCTGACTGTGCATTTGGAATCACTTGATCGCATCCTTCAGTGGCTTCAGTGGGCTATGTTCGACCAGTCAAGAAATTCACGCACTTTTGAAGAGGCGCAGTGACACCACCGATACAGAGCGACACCCACCGAGCCGGGCGGGGCGTGCGTGGGCACCGAACTGGGTTCCGGACAGGGCGCGCGGGCGGACGAGTGGAGCCTCACTCGGCCCACCACTGTTCAGGGTCCACATGTGTCGCCGGCCGACGCCAACAGGCCTGGCACGCTGCAGACGCCGCGTGCTGATACGGCACGGTGTTCACGCCCGCCGGCGGCTCTATAAACAGCGCGGGACGGCGGCTCGCGATCAGTGCGGGAGTAGAGACGGCGCGCGCCGGAGGTGCGGCTGGCCCAGACCGTCTCGACTCGGAGGTAACGCGCGTGTTGACATACCGCTAAACTCAGCACGCCACCTGGCGCTGCTCTCCGGAGACTTATTCTCGTCCGCGAAAAATTGTGCTGGGTATTCGGAATGTACTAAGCCGTTTCGAGATGCTGGTTCCCCCCCCCCCCCTCCCTCATACTCTTAATGATGGTGATGATGATGATTGGGGTTTCAGGGCGCGTCGACTTCTAGGGTCATTTTGCGCCCGCTCATACTCTGAAGTCACCATGTGGTTGAAAACCTGCGATCAGCTGCATGACAGCCCCGTTATTCCATGACCGCACTGCCTGTTGTGGAGCTTGTCCAAGATAGTCTGACATACTGGGTCACGTTTGAGAACACGCCTAGGAAGCCATATGTGATACACGTCTTCAGATGGCGCAAATACACCTACCCCATCATGAAAAATGCCGTGCTATTGAGATAGCTGAGAACGCTATGGACCCAAAACGTCCCAGCACGGCGTTGTAGCGACTTGACTCAACTGTTGCTATTACTCAACATGCTTGACCCCACTGTGACGAGAGGGTCATCGCCTATCAAGCTATACCGGGATGATGAGGGAGTCGCTGCCTGCGGGCCGCGCTACTGGTGCTGGCGGCCCTCGACGGGACCTTACACCGCCTGGTCTGCCAGCCTTTTTACACCACACAGCTACGGTGTTCATTTAGAAGTTAAAAGTACCGAGTCGCATGCGACTGGGTGTTGTGCCTGGAAAGCAGATGAGAGACAGAACAAAAGTTACTTGCTGGTGGCCGAATCTTTCTTCGAAATGCTTTGAGCGAGACAGCCGCTTGCCCGAGGGCCCCAAGGCCAGCAAAATAACAACGTCGTCGCCCTGATATTTGGCCTCCTTTCAACCAATGCCCACTTCGAAGTGACCTGTTGTCCGTCTCCGTCCGTGGTTCGTTCCCGAGTGAGTCGTGACCGGCATATTTGCCGGAGGGCGAAAAAGAGGGGGGGGGGAGGTGACCCCGCACGCACGTCTGAGCGCTGCGCTGGTGCTGGCCGGCCGATGGGTGACAATCCGTCACCGCGTGGCTCGGGCCCCCTCAAGATCAAGGTCGGCTGACGGGAGCGGGATTAGCGACTGATAGGAACGTGGAGATTGCCGCCGGCCGATCGCTCCTGTCATGAACTTCGGGCGCCGATTGTCATCTGTGGTAGATAATAGGGAGCACTTTCCTGTTCATTGTTACTAGGCAGGGGACGACCGCATTCGATGACGCTAGCGTTCAGTGATGATATCCTAAGTGATGCCAAACTCTGGGATCTTGTGAGCGATGTTCTGCACCGCGACCAGCCTTGATAGCCACAGGAACGCATAGATAGGTTGCTGCCATACGTAATGTGAGCCGTGTGTTCCCCCAGCATTCAACTATCGCAAGGTCGCATTATATTGCAAAGGTGAAAAGTCACGGCACCCCTGTCGGAACGCTCTCTACCCCTTTCACTACGAAGGCACCTGCCAGTTGTTTTGACGTCCTAGGTGCTCCGCATCAAAGTGAAGTCGGTCGGTCGTCGGCTTGTCGTAGCCGGCTTCCAAGCAAAGTAAATATTTGTCCTGCTAGACAAATTTGTCCAGTTAGCGGGCTCGTCCTTGACGCCCTTCCCGGTCGCTCGCATCGTCTTCGTTTACCCGCTCAGTTCGCCCTTCTGCCGCCAGATGGCCGACTACCTGGAGGTGGGCGGCGCGGTGGCGCTGACGGCGGCAGCCGGCGCCGCGGCCGCGCTCTATGTGCTCTCCCGGCCGCGGCCCCTGGTGCCGCCCGTGCCGCTCGATGACCAGAGCGCCGCCCTGGTGGTGAACTCCGACACCATCCGCACGTCGCGCCTGCCGCTGGCCGCGTACGGCGAAGGCGAGTTCGTCCAGTACCTGGACCCGACCTGCCGCACCATGCACCAGGTGCCGCTGCGCGGGCTCCAGCAGTCTGGTGACGGCCCCTGCCTGGGCTGGCGTGCCGGCGTCGACCAGCCGTACCAGTGGCTCAGCTACAGCGAGATGGTGCGGCGCGCGCGTCACTTCGGCTCGGGCCTGGTGGGCGGCGGCCTGAAGCCCGGCCAGGGCACGCTGGTTGGCCTGTACGCGCAGAACCGGCCCGAGTGGGTGCTGGCCGAGTACGGCTGCTACTGCTACAGCATGATCACCGTGGCGCTGTACGACACGCTCGGGCCAGAGGCGTGCGCCTACATCGTGTCGCACGGCAATATCAGCACAGTGTTGGTCGACTCGGACGCGCGCGCGCTCAGCCTGCTGGAGCAGCAGCCAGAGGCGCTGCAGCACATCGTGCACTGCGGCCCGCTGTCGGAGGAGACGGCGCGGCGCGCGCGCGACGCCGGCCTGCGCGTCAGCTCGTTCGCCGAGGTGGAGGAGCGCGGCGCGCTGCTCGACGTGGCCGAGATCCCGCCGCGGCCGCAGGACGTCGCCACCATTAGCTACACGTCCGGCACCACCGGCGACCCCAAAGGCGTGATGCTGACGCATGGCAACGTGCTGGCCAACGTGTCGGCCGTGCTGCTGCAGATGGGTGACGCGCGCCTCCGCCAGGACGACGTCATGCTCAGCTTCCTGCCGCTGTCGCACACGCTAGAGCGCATGTGCCACGTGGCCATGTACATGATTGGCGGCGCCGTGGGCTTCTTCCGCGGCGACATTCGTGGCCTGATGGATGACCTGAAGACGCTGCAGCCCACCTGCATCCCGGCCGTGCCGCGCATCTTCAACCGCATCCACGACAAGGCGATGGGCGCTGCGGCCAAGAGTAGGCTGAAGGCAACGCTGCTGCGCTGGGCGGTGGCCGCCAAGGAGGGGGAGATGGCGCGCCAGGTGGTGCGAGCCGACTCCTTCTGGGACCGCTGGGTGCTCGCGCCGGTGCGCCAGTCGCTGGGCGGCCGGCTGCGCATGGTGGTGGTGGGCTCGGCGCCCATGGCGCCGGCCGTGCTCACCTTCATCCGCGCTGCTCTCGGCTGCGTCGTGCTCGAGGGCTACGGCCAGACAGAGTGCGTGTGCCCGTGCACGCTGACGGTGCCCGGCGACAACGCGGCCGGCCACGTGGGGCCGCCGCTGGCCTGCGGCGCCATCAAGCTGACCGACGTGCCAGAGATGGGCTACGAGGCGGCGACCGGCCGCGGCGAGGTGTGTGTACGCGGCGCGGCCGTCTTCAAGGGCTACTACCGCAGCCCCGAGCTGACGCACGAGGCGCTCGACGACGACGGCTGGCTGCACACTGGGGACATCGGCCAGTGGCTGCCCAACGGCACGCTGCGCATCGTCGACCGCAAGAAGAACATCTTCAAGCTGTCGCAGGGCGAGTACGTGGCGCCCGAGCGGCTGGAGAATATCTTCATCCGTTCGCCGCTGATCGGTCAGGTCTTCGTGCACGGCGACAGTCTGAAGTCGTGCCTGGTGGCGGTGGTGGTGCCTGACGAGGACGGCGTGCGGGAGTGGCTGCGCCGCGCCGGCCGGCCGCGCGTGCCGCTCACCGAGCTCTGCGCCCTGCCGGAGCTCAAGCAGGCCGTGATGGCGGAGCTGGGCCGCGTGGCCGCTCAGGCTGGCCTTAAGGGCTTCGAGAAAGTTAAGGACGTGCACGTGGTCGCCGAGCCGCTCAGCACCAGCAACGGCATGCTCACGCCCACGCTGAAGGCGCGCCGACACAACATCCAGAAGCACTTCCAGGCGCAGATAGACGACATGTACTCGCGGCTGGACTGAGCAGCTTCGGCGTCGCCGCCGGCCCGGCCGCCCGCGGACCGCATCCGGCGGGACTCGTCTGGCAGAGCGCTCCATTCCGGAGACAGCGTGCCGGTCTCCACGGAGGCTTTGGATCGCTTCTAGAAGTCTGCCCGCGTAGCAGAATTTTACCGGACACACGTGCAACGGGGTACGCGCGCGCCGGTTCTATCCGCGCCACAGTCCCATAATTGCGACTCTAGTCAAATGACCATTCTGCGGGTGCGTGGCAGCCTGTTAGAAATCTAATCGAACGCCTATTTGTTTCGTGTAAATAGCAGCGCCATGGTGTTGGGTATTGCTCACCAGGGCTGTTGCTTGACTCCCCCGTCGTCTTAGCGCGCGTTAACTAGCATCGAATGCGTGATTGCGTAGGGCGTGCTCAGTTGTCTGAAACGCCCGTCCCCGGCATCGGTTTATCTACTTTACAGCACAGCCTTGTTTGAAGTGGTCGGTCACGACTGCGGTCCCTTGAGTCGCTCCGTCAGATCTCTTCCGATCCATTGTCTGCACAGCTGTAGCGGTGTCTTGTCCGTAGTACTGCGCGGTGGAGAGGAAATAGACTCGTCTGGCCGCCGCTCTGGGTGCGCTCCGTCTTGGAGGGCGGGAAGACGGCGAAGTTGCACACTGGCAGAAAAAAACGCTTCCGCGCCGTCGTGGAAAACACTGGAGCTTCTCGAGGTCGAAGCGGACCTTAGAGTCCATCACATCGCCGGTCCAAGGCTGCAGTACAGAACAGGGTTCTGCAACGCTTACTGCGCAATTCAAACATGCGGAAATGCGCCGCACGCGCAAAAATGCCTGCCAACAGCCCCCCTCAGCGGTCCCGGGTGGCTGTACTGCGCGTCATCCTCTGAGCTGTCGGTGCACGTTCGGGACACGGTGTATCGAGGCCAAAAGGTCAGTGCCAACTGGCGAGCCGGCAACCGCGCCCCTGCGGTGTCATCTGCTGTCTTCTGTCCCGGTCCCAGCCCAGTAGAAATCGAAAGAGTCCACCGGGATGTGTTGCAATGCAACCAGCGTGGAACTCACACCTCCGTGAATAAGGTCTCTGAGGAGACTTGTGCCCCGTAAAATGCATGAAGCTTCCAAAACTACGCACAAAAATAAAATATATCAACACTTCTTGATAGCTTATGCCGGGAAGCTCAGTCACATGTGCGTGTTATGGAACCGAACATTCCCAGTTTTTATTGTGCCTCAATATACATTCCGCGGGTCTAATTACAATCAAAAGCCGTTGTGAATAATATCGATTGGCTTAACTGGAAATTATTCCGGACTTGGACCTAGTCTGAACAACACTAACCGGAACTCGAATCTCCTCCCCGCGCGACTTTGCGCCAAGAGCTCATTCCACCGATGCGCGGTCGAGCCACGAGCCTGACATCGTCAGATCGTAGCGGACAACACGCTATGCCGACACCTTGTCTCACTGGGCCGTGCGCTAGCACAGCACGGCCGAGAGCGGGACGCCGCCAATGTCAGCTCGAAGGGACCGGGGCATCCGGTCGGCTGACGGAGCGCACGGACACCGTCGCCAGGCGCGGACCGCACCCTGTGACCGAGGTCCGGGTGACCGGCCCACTGACCTGACTGGTGGCATAGCCTCTGCAGCAGCCGGACGTGGGCCAGCAGCGGGTCGCCGTCGCCAGCGGGTGCCGCACTCTCCACGTGCACGAACGGCTGGTTGCCGGGCAGCGCGAACAGCGACTGGGCGCTGCCGACACGGGTCTCCGGTCAGCAGGCACACGCGCCCCCAGGTCAGTGGGCAGCACGCATACACGAGGGCAGCGGTGTGGCGGACAGCGGCACGGCAATCACAAGCCCAGGCTGGCGTCAGGTCGTGGAGGTTGGTTTCCATATGAGCAATGTTAACTTCGGTATAAATACGAATGATGCCCCGTTCAATTCAATAACATCCATTTCAATGATAAAAAATGATGAGCCCGACGATGTTTGATGTGGGATCCGAGCCAAAGAAATATGACGGCTTCGAAAATTGGAAGTACATAATGTGAATATTGTCCCACCAGACATTCGTGATGACTGATCTCGCCTGACTTTGGTAATGACTGAGTCCTCCCATCGCCAAACCATTCAGTTCTGGCATCCGTGAGCGCGACCTCCGAGTAAAGTGGGCGTCAACTGACTCAAATTTCCGGCAAGCTACGCAAACTTCCAATCACGCAGCGCGTATGAACTTTTGTTTGTTTTTTATAAGAGCCCATTTGACCAGAAATTATTATTTCAGGACCATGGGATGAAGAAAAATGACTAACTGTGGGACAGGCTCGCCCGCAGGGGGGGGGGGGGCAACCGCCGAGCTTTAACCCGCGTATGTGCGCTGGGTACCCGGTCAGGGTCCACCCTCCCACGAGGCCCTCGACCCACTCGCGGCTGGTGCACGCAGCCTGCCCCGGACAAGCAGAGCATCGCGAGGATGCAGGATGAAACAAGATGGAGGATAAGAGGGACGGACCAGGTGCTTAAATGGCACATTTGGTTTGCCTTTTTTGGATAAGAGCCCTTTTGATCAGAAATGATTGTTTCAGGGCCACAGGATGAAGGGAAATGATTAACGGTGGGGCGGACTTGCATGCGGCTGGGATGCCAACCACTGAGCTTTAACCCGCGCATGTCCACTGGGTACCCGGACGGGGTCCCCCTTCCCACAGGGCTGCCGGCCCACTCCTGACTGATGCTGGCACTCTGCCCGGACAAGCAAAGTGTCGCGAGGATACACAATAAAACAAGATGGAGGATACAAAATATGGATAAGGACATTTCGAGTTACGTCATATAAGAAGTTGGACATGGTTTCTTCACTTACAAGTTATTATGGAGATAAGAATTGCATTGGAATAACTTACGGATACCGACAGAACCGAGAGTGTGAATGCAAGTACACGTTTTTAACTTATGGATAAGCATGTAATGGCATCGCAAGACAGATGACAAGGGCTTAAACACGAGCACAAAACGACACTTGACTCCGCGAACACTTCCAGCTCGTGCTGCCATCTTCGACGAGTTTGAAGTACTACAAGTCGCAATTTCGCACGGTTAGCTTGGCAGTACCTCGACGCCGTACAAACGTGCCATCGTGCAATGAAACGATGACGTATTGGAGAGGGTATTTATTGAAGAGAAACTTTGTACTTAAGAACAGCCTTTTTACTTAAAACTATACAAAAATTAGATACAATTTTGCTTCAACATATCTGCTGATTGCTTTAATATCTTCAAACGTGGAGCATTTCCTTTAACTAAGAATCTCGAGCAATCATTACTATGCACTGATAGTACTCGACGTTTCAAGTTGGTTGCATCGGTATCATTTACATGCACCTCCTGGTTCTCTGGTACATCCTGGTTTAAGCGCAGCTCCTGATATATTGAACGTAGATCACTTCCAGGATAAGAGCTGATACTGGAAAAACAGGGCCTGATCTCCTTTGTCTATTACACTAATCTGTTGACGACTGTTAGTCCCACCTCCCATCGGCGATTACTCCCATCTCACCTGCGTTGGATACATATATCCTTACCTGACGTGGGTGATGACCCCAGGCTTTCATCCGGCATTGGTGATGACATCGTGTTCTCATCTGGCGTTGGTGACGACCCCAGGCTCTCACATGTTGATGACTACGGGCTCTCACATGATGTTGATGACTCCGGGCTCTCACCTGGCGTTGTTGACGACTCCGGACTCTCACCTGGCGTTGGTGATGACTTCGGACTCTCACCTGGCGTTGGTTATGACGCGCACTTTGCGCAACAGCCGGTAGATTTGGTCCTCGAGGCTGTGCTGCAGTTGCTCGGAGGCCGGGCGGCCGGCGCGCGCTTTTTGGCGCGCCACCGCCGGCGGGCAGCTGGCGAAGTAGAAGAGCACGCGCGGCGGGCACGGCCGGCCCTGGTTCACCCAGCCGGACGGTACGCCCGGCACCGAGCGCAGCGTGTCCGTCACGTGACGCAGCAGCTTCTGCCTGTGACGCGACACACGCCGTCGGATAGCTGCACCGGACGCCACACACGCCGTCGGATAGCTGCACCGGACGCCACACACGCCGTCGGAGGGCTGCAGCAGACGCCACACACGCCGTCGGAGGGCTGCATCAGACGCCACACATACCGTCGGAGGGCTGCACCGGACGCCACACACGCCGTCGGAGGGCTGTACCAGACGCCACACATGCCGTCGGAGGGCTGCACCGGACGCCACACACGCCGTCGGAGGGCTGCACCAGACGCCACACACGCCGTCGGAGGGCTGCAGCAGACGCCACACATGCCGTCGGAGGGCTGCACCAGGCGCCACACACGCCGTCGGAGGGCTGCACCGGTCAGCCGGCACACAGACAGCGATGCTGGAAGTGCGCAGACCTTGCCGTAACAAGGTATGTTTAGGGCGGCGAAAATACAGAGTCGTCGTAGCAGAATGTACTGTAATTACGTAGCGCGGCAATCGGTATCTCCCACTGGCGTCGGCATCACACTCACTGGTTTCGTCCTGATAGGAGAGTACCATGTCTACATGTGAGTTATCCACTGCTCAAGTGTAACGTAAGTCACAACTTAAGTGAAGGGCAATCCACAACTTAAGTAAAAAGTGCCTCTTGTGAAAAAACTTACGCTAAGGCATTCAATCAGCAAAACTGTCAACTACGCCACCCGTCCTGCGGCGTTGAGAAACATTCTTGCTTCGCTCGCACTGCAATGTATTGGTTAACTGCGACATGTCCATATGTGTATGTACATTCAGGTCCATAGATGTCGGTCCACTGACCCTGCTTGCATCGTCATCGCGATCAATGCGACGGCACCGAGTCAGTCTACAGATAAGCCGATGAAGTGATGGGGCGAGCGGCCGACCCGACACAGGCGGCTTACCTGCAGGCGTCGATGGCGAGGAACATCTGTATGTAGCTGAGGTCGAACACGTGGCTGGGGTGGTAGAGCACTAGCAGGTGGGAGACGGAGAAGAGGAAGAGCAGCGCGCGGGCGGCCGAGTAGCGCAGCTCCGACCAGCACGTGAGGAATCCCTGCAGGGATGGCATGAAACGGCCGCCCGTCACCGATCACCCACACACTCACTTTCAGGTCGGAAACACACACTCCCACGTCACCCACACGCTCACACTCTCAGGTTAGTCACACACCAATACTCCCAGGTCACCCACACACTCACACTCAGGTCACCCACACACTCACACTTTTAGGTCACCCACACACTCACTCTCAGGTCACTCACACACTCACAATTCAAGGTCACCCACACACCCACACTCTCAGGTCGCCCACACAATCACACTTAAAGGTCACCCACACACTCACTCTCAGGTCACTCACACTGAAAATAGCGGGCTGTGTGTAATTACAGTGTCGGTGTACTGGATCATGGGCTGGTGCAAACAAACGCCTTTGACAGTCCTTCCGCGACGCAGACTCACGTGGATCGTGCAATGACGATACTCATTATGCCATGTCATGTCATGGTGTAATGAGTATCGTCATTCAGGGTCACACAAATACCCTACACATGCATGCAGTTCTGAATTTCGCAGTGCGACACAAGCTGCATTAGACAGGTGACCCAACTTGGCGGAAATATATGTCGCAGGGGCTCGCTGACTTACATTTTCATCAATTTTATTTTTCAAGTCCCGGCAGATCCTGCACAGAACCGACGTATCCAGCGTGGAGCGCAGGTGGAGATAGACCACGTTCTCTTGGGCGCAGAAGAAGCCCTCAACGCGTGTCTGTGGACGAAGGTCCGGATGAGTTCGGGACAACCAATATCAGGGAGTCCCAGACCCCGAACGAGGCAGCTCAGCTGGGGCGATCCCCTGAGCGGATTCCCTGGGCGGGAGACCTCGGCCGAACTCGATAGCAGCAACGCGGCTCCGTCCTAGAGCGTTACCACCCGAGAGCAACACAGTCGGTGGCGTGCCCATCTTGGCTAAACAGCACTGAGGCACAGCCACCCAGGAGGAGGCGAGACACGACACCACAGCGCGAAGTGGGTAGGTGGTTCTGTAAGGCTGACCTCCAGACGGGGGACCGCACGGCTAGGGGACAGCTCACCTGCTCCTGGCCCAAGTCCAGCTCCCGGCTGGGGACTGGGGACAGCCCACCTGCTCCTCACCCAGGCCAGGTCCGGCTGGGGACCGGGAGGACAGCTCAGCTGCTCCTCGCCCAGTCCAGCTCCGGCTGGGGACTGGGGACATCCACCTGCTCTGGCCAAGGTCCAGCTACGGCTGGGGACCGGGGACAGCTCACCTGGTCCTCGCCCAGGACCAGCTCCGGCTGGGGAACCGGGGACAGCTCAGCTGCTCCTCGCCCAGGTCCAGCTCCGGCCAGGGACCGGGGACAGCTCACCTGCTCCTCGCCCAGGTTCCAGCTCCGGCTGAGGACCAGAGGACAGCTCACCTGCTCCTCGCCCAGGTCCAGCTCCGGCTGGGGACTGGGGACATCTCACCTGCTCCTCGCCCAGGTCCAGCTCTGGCTGGGGACTGGGGACAGCTCACCTGCTCCTCGCCTAGGTCCAGCTCCGGCTGGGGACCGAACACCGAGTGGCTCAGCAGGTTACGGAAGGCGTGCCCCTTGCCGCCGCCGGCCAGGTCGGTACTCTTCCCGATGAGCGCCACCACCACCACCTTATCCGCCGGCCACCTGGAGCACAGCATGGAATGCAGTTGTGGTGCTGGCGTCTTTGGTGGTGTTTCTGACCATCCAGAATGATGAGTGGAAAATGAAGTCAGCACAAAACCACACTGTCAGCACAGGATCATGCTGTCAGCATGGGACCATGCTATCAGCAGGAGACCATGCTGTCAGCACAGGACCATGATGTCAGCATAAAACCATACTCTCAGCACAGGACCACGCTATCAGCACAAGCCCATGCCGTCAGCACAGGACCACGCTGTCAGCATAGGACCATGCTATCAGCACACAAGGCCCATGTCATCAGCGCAGGACATGCTGTCAGCACAGGGTCATACTGTCAGCACAGGACCATGCTGTCAGCACAGGATCATGCTATCAGCACAGGACCACGCTGTCAGCATAGGACCATGCTATCAGCACAAGGCCATGTCATCAGCGCAGGACCATGCTGTCAGCACAGGGCCATACTGTCAGCACAGGACCATGCTGTCAGCACAGGATCATGCTATCAGCACAGGATCATGCTGTCAGCACAGGACCCTGCTATCAGCACAGGATTCTGCTGTCAGCACATGACCCTGCTGTCAGCACATGACACTGCTGACAGCATAGGGCCATGATGCCAGCACAAGACCATCCACTGGTGTTACCAACAGCCGACAACATTGGTATTTGCCTAGCTACGCTGGAGTGAGCAGGACAATGTCATGCAGCAGTAATCCTATTGACAAAATTATTCATGGCATTACCCTGTATCAGAAATAGGATGGGTAAGGTTGAATAATCAAAGTTGTCTCAACTGGCAATGGTAAACATGCATGGCATTGATACAAATCAATATATTGATCAACAAACATAGGAGTACAACATATAAAATTTACCAAATAGCAGGGCATGATATAAATGCAAATATCAAACCAATTTGTTTGGGTCAATAAAGAACAACGTTACTTCAATAACATGGCATTGGCATACAACCACCGACTGTAACTTCCACACGACAAATCAGCTACCGGCTTTCTCTTATCAGCCTTTGAGATAGTCATCGCTGTGAAATTTGCTACTCTTAGCTGAGTTGCTACACTGGTATGATGACCCCTTTTCAAGTTGTTCTTAAAATGTAGGAGGCGTGGTGTACTGGCGCAAAGTACCGATGGTGCATTCTGATAATTTTGAGGCAGGGAAATGATAATGAAGATACAAACTCACCCGGCGTTCCTTTCCGCGCGCGTCGCGGTCGGGCGGACCTACGGTGGTGGCAGGTATTGCACTTAACGTATTGGGAGATATGAAAATAGGTGAGCATGATTAGCGCATGATGCCGAAATTACAAGACACCGGAGCTTGCAAAAGCTGTTTTGCCCAACAACATAACTAAGCGATGACTGGTATGACAGATCTGGTTTCTTTTCACGCATTATGATTGCTTAGTTCAGGCGGTACACACCAAATAAACCAGACATAGCAACATGAAAACTGAACAGTGCAGTAACCACCGCGTGCTGTCTCGGCTCCATCGCGCGGGTCACGGTAATCTGCGCTCCTGGCGCCAACTAAACGCTTCTCTGCTGAGCTAGTCAAAACACGTCGGCAGGGCAGCACCGGCTACGCAGGCGGACACCTCGGTGGTCAGCTTTCCCGACCTCTCCATGGCCTGGGCGCGGTACGCACACCAGTCTTCAGCGGTGAATAGACCAGCTGCTCCCGCTGATCGCTGCCCAGTTGCTTCAAAAGGACGGCTGCGAATCAATTTCCCCGGCGACGTGCCGCACGGCCACCAGATACAAGTCCCTATTGGTGTCGCGGATGGTTTCAGGGACCTCGAAGCGACCGGATCGGCAGCTAGCTGGGTCTCTTTTTGGCGACCTGGTCAGGTCGACGGCCTCGGCCTTGCCCTGCTTGCTATCGTCGCCCGCTATCACCATCACGATGCTCTCCGGTTGGGTCATCCGCACGTTCCTCGCGATGCTGTCTTGGGCGGCAGTGAGGACGAGCTCACACAGATACTTGTGCTGCGGCCGTAACTGCTTCGCCAGGTACGTGGAGTGCGCATGATGTCCCACACATGCTCGTTCGAAATCACCGCGGGCACCTATATACACACCGCCCACCACATGCTGAGCTAGTGCGGCGAACTCAGGTCGGGTCAGATTTGAGGTGCATAGGCACAGAAGATCGCTCTGCATGGTGAACCATCAGGCGGGGTTGAACATCTGATGTAGCTCTCACAGCACTCACGTCTTCAGAGGTCACGCTCCTTGCTCACTCGTCAAGTAGCCACATGCACAAGCTGAAGCAACTCTCCATGTCAGCTGCAGCTGAATGAAGTTGCCACAAGGAGCTCCTCAAGTTCTAGAGGGGGACCAAATTTGACCTCTGGTGACCATGGAAATTCTGTGCCAACTAAATCATAAGCAGGATTGCAGGACCACTACACATGTTACACTGCAGTGCAAAGAAAGACAAGGCTTTCAAATTTCCCATCTTGTGAATACCATGTGGCATGATATAAAGATGAATTTCCCCTAGGGTGGATAAATGTGTTTAAACAAATTTTTCAAACATGTTTTGATTCAGCTATCCAAAAGTATCAGTTCACTTCAAACCCCCTCGCATTTTGAGGAAAAGTTGATGGGGTCCCCCTACTACACAGATAATGGTCATTGGCAGATATGTGTCTGAATCCCCAATGACCCAAGGATCCCAATAACATGGAGCTCTATGGGACCCTGGATCCCAGTTTTATTTTCCATGTTTTATTTTCAAGGCTAGACCAGGAATACACTGGTCAGTAGCAATGCATCAGCCCCTCATCAGCAACATTGAGAAAATGGTAAGCTAACACAGGGCACTATGTGTTTTTATGTGAATTTTGGGTAAGTTGTGCATTTTCCCTTCTCAGTCCTGCTCCATCCATCTGACTTCCTTTGAGACCCTATGCCCCTGGGTAACTGGTGTCATCTTAGAATTTACTATGGACATTGCAAATCTTGAAAGAGTGGACTTGTTCAGACATCGTTTACACCATTGGTGGATTTTGCACAAGGTCACGGAAATATAACCACTGTGCTCCAGCATGAAAACAAGCAGATGCTTTAAAAAGATCCAATGTGACTTCTCAACCCACTCTAATTGGAAAGTATCTCAACTACTTACCTTCCATCTTCTTTGGAAGGAAGCAAAAATTGGAAACTATTTGACTTCATCGCTGCTTGACCAGTCCATCTATCTGTAAAATGCACTAATTAAAACACAAGTCAACCAAGCTAGAACACACTAATTCGGGAATCATGCATCACAAAAATCGAAACAAGATTACCGTATTTAACACGTAAAACAATGGATCATCTATTTCCGGGATGCACATTAGCGCACACATAAATCTATCTCACACAGAGACCTCATCCTACCACTTTAAAAACTGTGATTACCGCGTGCACGCACGGGCTTCTCAGCGCTCGATACAACGCGTCAGAACGCGGTTCTCCCTAGCATGATCAGTGACGGGATCGGTCGGTGCGCTAATGCGCTCAGGCATTGAGAATCAGTGCTACCTGGTTTGTAGCTTGTTTACTTTTGGTCTGGTCGTTGACGCGCAAGTATTGTCAAAGACCGATACCACCTACATAGTCACAGGTAGCTAAATTAAAGACGGGATGACATCTGTGGTCTTGTTTCCGCAAGACCATCGTCCACACGCTTTGCCTTCATTCTGGGAGTACTTTTGGTCGGTAAAGTACACTGTCAATAAGAAGAAAACGCTTTTTCCGTCGGTATGGATGTTCTAATGTACGTTACTAAATGTGGGTGGCCGGCCCGTGGCATATAAACCGACATACGACATCGCGGTCAAAACATTGTAATCGGGCCCGGAGAGTGCAACTATGTGCATTTGACAGCACTGTTGAATGGCTATCACCTGGCATCCGAACATGCCTGTCAGCCGAAGCCATCCTTGCATTTGGTTGGCCCATTACCGCGACATCACCCAATGCTGGCCGCATGGCTGCCAAGGAAATTTGAAAAGTTGCGGCGGTCAAACAAAAAGTATTGTGATCTTGCGCGACTGATACAAACATGTGCACGTGATAGCACTGCGGGAGTACTATTGGCTGGCAATGCACATCATTATCGCTCGTCGGTAGATAACTGCGTTGCTTGCTATGATTCCCTGACGGCGAATAGCTAAACGCTCCGACATGCCTTTAGCGTGATAGCCGGTATGTGGCGGCCCGAGGAAAAAACAACACTATAATCGTGTTCAGAAAGCGTGCCGTGTGCTGCTGCCAATCCTGCCAGAAAGCTAACAGCATTGCTGTAAGGCTATGACCTGGCAAGGTAACACGCTTGTCGGCCGAGGGCAGCCATTTTGTTCGGTTGACCCGCTGTAAGCGGATCACCCCCAGCGTGTGCCTCGGCCGCACGGCGATTTGCTAAGATCGGCGATAAACAGATGCAGTTAACGTCGTGTGCAGCGGGTGCGACCGTGTGCACCTAAGAACACCGTGGGAGCAGTAGGGATTGGAAATCTCGGTCGTGGGCGTGTTATGCGCATTTTATTCATGTAACCCCTGAAGATGAATTTCGAAATAAAGCCGGCCTGAACGTAGCTTGGTGGTCAAAATTCCCCACCTCGATAAGGATACCCCTGACTGTGGGCGGTGAGCGTGGCCGTGTGAATGTTATAGCATCCCTCTAAAGCTGTCAGTTCGCGCTGGAATGTGGTTACAGGCTGGCGGCATCCACTGTACTGGATTGGCCTCATGACATCGCAGCGCCCGATGCTATCAGGCCGGCTGCAGCGGGAATTGGCAAAGATACGGATGTCAGATGAAATCATGTTGCCTTCTGCTGCGGGCGCGACCGTGGAACATGATATCCCCGGTGGCACCCGTAGCGGAGGCCAGTGGACGCCTTATTTTTGGAAATCCCCATTTCAGCGGGCCTGGCAGCATTGTAAAATATAATGGACATAAATTGGCTCTCAGTTAAGGTTGAGCGGGCTTTGCAAGTTTCAGTCACAAACCACGGTTTGTGCTTCATAATATAGGAATTTGAGCATAAATACTAGTTATTAGAGAAAAAGGATTTGTCGCCGAATAATTGAAAGATAGCGGCACATGCGAGCATGTAAATAGCAAGTACCCACCTTACACTTACGGATAAGTATGCAGGAACACGACGAAAAAGGGCTAAACTGCGAGCACATCACGACATTTGGTTTGGAATCCCACGGTGACACCCCTAGCCAGAGGTCGTGTATCCGAATTTGGTATGAGTGCAAATATTTTGCGAAGAACCCCCAAACCGATACGCCCCTATATTTCAGTATAAATGCGCAGCCAGAGCCCCAGAAAAGGACGGAAACACGATTGACAAAGGGCCACCTGATAGTTAAAGCTCCCACCCCCAACCAAAAATCACCAAATATGGCCCGTTTGTTAATGAGGGCATGCTTTCATAATTTCATTTTTACCTTCTGCCGCTGGATTAGGAGCCAGAAGCTGCGGCGATATCAATTCTGCTCGAATTTTATAGTCAATCAACTGAAAAATAATGCGTTAAATGACTGCATAAAACAAATCACCGGCGCTGGTTGTTTTACAACGGTTCAGTGCACCTTTCTCTAAACCAAGAGAACTCAGGGGCTTTGTCAGAACCTTATCCAGGCTGCACAGCGATATCAAGGACCTTCGCGAATGTAGATCGAAATGGGTTAACAATTTGTATGAACATGGCCAAGCCATGCTTGTCTCGAAATGTTCAACATTTAGTCAGTATTGAGAAGTGATACAAATTAAATAATGTGGTTTTGAGCACGCGGGCTCAAAAAGCACAAAAGCACTAAAGCAGCCCGTGAAACCCTCGAAGCCAGGTATTGCAGTCTCCATACGCAGCCAGCGCCGCCCCTGGGGCTAACACTAAGTCGTGGTCAACGGCAGACTAAAAAGTGACACATTTGACAGAAGGGCCTTTGAATGCTTGAGGACGTAAAACCGTGCGTTTAGAGGGCAGTCGGGCGTGTATTTTGCCTGTGCGATTTTTAGATTGATGAATTGAACGGGTTAGCCTTCACAGCACCACGAAGTGGCGCTGGAATCTGGTGGTAGGGCTGTAGGAGTAACGACAGAACCTCTATTTTTGTGTTGCTGTAAGTTGTGTTGTTGTTTTGTTGTCATCTGTCCAGAGGACAACGCTAAAATTGCAAAAAAGATACGCCTGGCCTAACCTTTGAGGATACTAATTAGTTTTTTAAGATATTCGGAAGTGTCATTCCACGACGGTCGGTACCGCGCACACGGCACCCGCCGCCTGGTGTTACAGTGGCCAACGTCGTTCGATTACACGGAAGCTGCATCCCAGGCTATCGCTATCCTTGCTTCCGAGATTACGGGATCGCAGGCTCAAACCTTTTGACAATTTTTTTCCACTAGTCAATTCCGCAAAAGAATGAACGTTCTCAGTCAAACATGGGATGGGCTTGCTCGTTTTTCCGACCCATTCTTTTCAACTCTAATGAGATCCATTATTTATTTCCAGGAATAGGTCCTCTTTGAGAAGAGCACTAGGGGGCACATCACTCTTTCCGGTCAAGGGCTGAAGGGCCATTTCGTCCGCCGCGGGGTGTCTTCAGGCAGCCAACCAGGTGATTTGGGGCGGCATTCCGTGGCCGATCCGGAAGCCCTTAGAGGGATACGTCATATCACACTGGTCCCCTCCCTGACGCGGGAGGCCTTCTGACCCACGCAGACCGCAATTGACCCCGGATCCACGCAGAAACCCCCATTGACGCAATAACATTCCTGGCGGCCGCGCCGGGTCCAAAATTGGCACATAGACCCCAGTTTGGATTAACGGGCACATGCTGGATTTGGGTTGGAGCGACTACCGCTCGCTACAGGGCTCACCGACTGGTACAGGACCCTTCCTCTGTCTCAATGTGAACAGTCATCATCAGCTGTCATGCTTCCCTTCACTGTCGAAGGACCCTAACCAACGCAAGGGGCCTCTTTCATTCGGGGTCCCGCCCCCGTCCCTATTGAGCACATCTTTCTTTGACCGACTCGAGGCTCCTTGTTGGCACAGAATCCTTTATTCCGTACTCTGGACCTCTGAACGATACAGGAGCCTGGCAATGGTGCCTGGGCCCCGACCAATATAAATCGCGGGTGCGGCCATGTCCCTGCTTTGGAAATGGGCCCTCAGAACTCAGACCGACACGGAGCCGACTGTTCGGTGTTGGTGATCTCTGGCCTAAGCAGAGGAGTCCTCGATGTCATGTTGATGATGATTCAATTCAATTCAACTAATGTGAACAATCATCATGACCTGCCGTGTTTCCCTGCATTGTCAGAGAACCTGACCAACGCAAGAGGCCTTTGTCATTCGGGGATCCCGTTCTCCGCCCCTACGGATGAGGGTCCTTAATGCGACCTACACCCAGTCCTTTGGGCCGTTTAGCTTTCAAATCAAGTCCTTGATTTTTGGTCTCAAAAGGCCCTTCGGCCCTTTTCGGGCCCCTCAAACACAGCTCCTGGCCGATTCGAGCCACTTGCCGCCACACGACCCCTGTTAGACCCCAAGGCCCCTGACCGACACAGGAGCCACTGATTGTGTCATGGATCCAGAACATTGCAAATCGCGGGCCCCGGCCTCGTTCCTGCTGGAGAAATGGCTCTCGAGGGCTCAGACGGACATGGAGCCGACTGTTTGGCTCCGTGTCGAGGCCCTACATAATAGGGATAGAGAATCCTAATAAGAGGGACCTTATAGAAACCGTCTGACTAACATATCAGGTCATGACACTACGGGTGGACGGTCGGGTCTGAGTCCCATTGGGACTTTACTCTTTGGTCTCGAGGAGCCCTCAGGCCCTTCTTCGGACCTCCTCAAACAAGGCATGTCACCGACTAGGGGCCACTACCCGAGTTATGTCCCCCGTTATGCATCGTGGGTCCTTGACTGACAAAGGGCCCCAACCAATGTAAATCGTGGCCCCCGGTCTTGCCCCTGCTTGGAAAATGGGCCCCCAGGGTTCAGATTGACTGGAGGCTAGCTGTTTTGTGCTCGTGGTCTCCAGCCGAGTTAGACACCCACATTGTCTCAGGGGTCTTCAAACGGTATAAGAGTACGTCTGACTGATATTTCAGGTAGCGACCCTACGGGCCGCGATTCTTTATGTGACCTACAGCCAGTCCTTCAGGCCCTTATGCCCTCCAACCGGGCATTAAATAGTCTGCTCCGTTGGACAACCCGAGCCCTTCTTCGGACATCATCGAACACTGCCCTTGGTCGCCTCGAGGCCCCTTGCGAATACAGGGCCCTCTGTTAGGCGCTGTGGGCCCCTGACAGATGCAGGGGCACCGACCAGAACAAATCACTCGCCCGGCTTCGTAACTGATGGGGAAGTGAGCCCTTAGGCCGATTCTGATACGGAGCGGACTGTGCAGCACTGGTGATGCCTGACCGACATATAGATCTATATCGACTCAGGGCGTCCCCGATCGGTGCAAAGGGC